CAAAGTTGGCATTTACTGAATTTCTAATATGTGCCACTGAATTTTAAATTATTAAAACTCCAAGATACTAAGTATCATCACTCTCTAAATGACGACCATGAGGTAGGGAAATATTGGTGCCACTTGCCCAGGGAGCAGAGCCAGAATTCACACTCATGACAGCCATACTCCAGAGCCACACTTCCCGCCTGTCCTTGCTTAGTTTCCCTCAAGATGACCATGACACTGAAGCCCTGGGACAACTGAGCACTGTGCCAGAGTTTCACAAAAGCAGCATTTCCTCATAAAAAATACAAACCTGAGGGTTTCTACCAAATATCCAGGGGATTCTACCCATCACTCTTAGTACTATCGCAAGTTCTGGTCTTCGAACAAGCAAGGGATTTGCTCCCTGTGAAAGCCGCAGCCTGTACCACACCTCCTAGCGAGTCAAGCGAGCTGAGCCTCCTCTGCGGGGTCCCAGCAGTCTCCACTCAGTGCAGGTGGCGATGGTAAGAGCCAGTGAAGAGAGGACCCGGGAAGCAGTGTAGGGCAAAGCTGAGGGAATTAGAAGCTGACCTACGCTCTATGCATCCATTCTGCTATCAGATTTTAGAATATTAAAACACATATCTAACTTAATTTCCCAATTTACTGACCATTCAAATACTAAAATCAATCCTTTTTCAAGGTTTGCAGAAGTCATGACAACTGAATTTTAGAAGTACGTACCAGCCAGAGGCGGCTTGTGTGAGTGAAGAACACAAGGCACGCTGACAATTAGTTTATGGTCTGGAATCGGCGGCACTTTTACATCTGTGCTCCTAAGTAAAACAGAACAAGATAGTAAATTATATTTGAAAGAATGATTTTGAATTATAAGCCACAATGATATTTTTCTCTTTCAAATAGTGCCTAATTTTTTAAAACAAATGTAAAGATTGACTCAATGAAGGAAATCGGTAATTTAATAATTGAGACACCTCCTGTGTCAGTGATGGCGAACCTTTTAGAGCTTTCAATGATACAAACGGCCTACTGTGGCACCTGTGCTGTAGGTTCGCCACCACTGCCTTAGGATTTTACTTTTCACGGTAATGACAATTACATACTAGACAAAACAAAAGATAAAGTTGCATGGGTCATGCAATTCATACTTTTCTACTTTTAGATTTTCAAAAATGTGAAAATTAAGAAAAATCAATGATCGTTATGTTAATAATTTTTAAAACCTAAAATTAAATACATTTATATAATTTTGGAAAATCATCCTTCTTACCTTAATGGTAGAGTGGTTTTTCCTTGAACTCTTCCCAGTATAAGACCTTCATATGGCTTTTTGTGTGGAGAATCTAAAGGGAACACAAACTCTCCCGTCTTGGTGATCTGAAAGAAAGAAGTTGACAATCACACTGTACGCTCCATTCCCTCCCCGAAAAGAGAAATTATTAAACCTCCAGGCCAGTGTTGTCCAATAAAAACATAATATAAGCCACAAATGTGAGCTACAGGTCTATTTTTAAATTTTCTAGTATTAACATTTTTTTAGAAAACTAAAAATACCAGCTGTGGTAGCGCCTAACTGTAACCCCAGCATGCAGGAGGCAAGAGGGCCGCAAGTTCAAGGCCAAACGGGGCTGCTTGGCTAGTCCAAGGCCAGCCTGGACTATAGCCAGATCCTGTTTCATAAACAAATAAATGTAAAACAAATAAAAAGTGGAAAGAATACAATGAAATTAACTGTAAATACTGAACTTTAACAAATCCAAAATATTACTTGAATGTGTAATCAATTCCAAGAAGTTGCTGAGATATGTTACATTCTTTTTTATATTAAGTCTTTACCCTATTTTGAGGTAACTAAACAACCAGGTCAGTAATAGAAAGTCCTTCTATCTCCTCTAAGGCCAATCAGGTAGCACCATTTACACACAGTACTGTATAAATACTAGCACATTCTTATTCTTTGGGGGGCCTTTATATTCAATGCAGATTATTCCCTTTGTTATAATATGTGTAAGTATAAATGTTTCAGATAATACAGTATATTTTTTATATTCTAGTCTTACTACACCCTCTCTTGAAACTGATTGCTACTACAGATGAATAGTCTAGGTTTGCAAATATTAACATTTTACTGCGTGTGACTTAAGAAGGTGGCCTCTTCCTGATTTGGCCCCAACAGTGGGCAGGGTGGAACAGGGTATTACATTCTTGTCATGATCCTATATCGAAGCAACCAAAATCAAGACCAGAGGATGTCAGGAAAGCAAAGGCACAACTGTAAATATTTGCTTGCTAAGTCCTGTAAAATAGGTATAAACAAACAATGCACATTGCTTTTAGAAGATAATCTGGTAGACTACAAAGTATATAAAAGCACATAGAAATACAACTCTGGTGTATCTAAAATAAATATACCAGTTATTAAACACTCAACTGAAGGGCTGGGGATTTAGCCCAGTGGCACTGCACCTGCCTCACAAGCGCAAGGTCATGAGTTCAATCCCCAGTACCTCCCCCCAAAAAAAACTGGATTAATTATAACTTAGCTTATATTTTCAAAATTTAGGAGGGCTTTTATGACATCCATCTGACTAGTCAGTATCTTTCAAAGAATATCCAATGAACTCTGAACTGAGACTTTAGTCTTTTGCATTTATATTTTATTCTTACAACATGTAGAGATACTAAAGATCATCAACCAACTCTAGGGTTAAAATCATTCATTTTTAAAACGGGTTTGGCGGCACATAAAGCACTGAGGACTGAAGTTAAGAGTTAAAAGTATAAAAAGTGAAGGGCCAGGGATTTAGCTCAGTGGTTCCACCGTCTGCCTCGCAAGCACAAGGTCCCAAGTTCGATCCCCAGTACCAAAAAAAAAAAAAAGTATAAAGTTAAGAGTTAAAAGGATAAAAGGTTCTTGCGTCTAGCATCTTCCAACTCCCTCCCCAGTGGCTTACTTTGCAGTGCTCTGCCTTCCTCCCCAGCACTGTGAGATACAGAGGCCACAAAGGGGGACTGAAACTGTGGGGAGGTTAAGGGGAAGAAGACAGATGGAAAGACAGTTTACTTTTATGCCTGATCATGGATGGATTCCCCCAAGTTTTTGTTTGTCCTATTTTATGCTCGATCGCTAGAGATTGGAGCTTTCTTAAATCTCATTCCGGTACCTCCCTGACCAGCACTGCGGGACTCCACTACCAAAATAAGCAGAGAGCAAGGCAACAGCCGGAGACTAAGAGGATGAATGTGATGAGCAGCAAAGCCAAAGGTTTAGTTAGGCCCTGCTGTGGAAAGGACCGCTGACGTGTTAAACACTGCAAAGCAGACACCGTGTGTGTCACGCCACACTGACATATGGCCTGACCTCGGAACTCACTTTCACCCAGTGCCATTCGGCCAGCGTCTCCACAGACCAAGACGGGAAAAGCTCTTCCTTTACGAAGCGCAGGTGCTTCTGTCTGTTGGTCACCCACGTAACAACAAGGCAGTTGGGAGCGGCCAGTTGATGGATGGGGATCTGCTGTATTTGCAGAGGTGATAAATAACTGTACCTAAAAATGAACAGGAAGAAACGGGAGCAAAATGTGTTGTAAAAAAAAAAAAAAGAAAAGAAAAGAAAGCAGGGTGAAGACCTGCATAACACTGACCCCAGAAACGCAGAGCTCCGGCAGCTAATTATGTGTGCGGCCAACTGTGGAGCCACAGTGCCACCTGGTGGACAACAGTCAAACATACCGTAACTTCGTTTTTCTCGTTCACTAGTATAGAACTGTCAGGCTGTGTTTGTTTTTAATCGCTTCTAAACACATTTTGGAAATTGTCCTATTTAGATTTCTTTTCCATTCAAAATTAAGCAAATATCATTTGGGTCCTCTCATCTTCCCCTACTACAGTACTAGGGATGGAGGCCAAGGGTACTCTACCACAGAGCTGCAACCCAGACCGTTTTATTTATTTTATTTTATTTTGAGAGAGGGTCTTACTAAGCTGCCCAGCAGGACTCAAACTGTGACCCTCCTGCCTCTGCCTCCCTCGCTGCTGGGGTTACATTCATTCAGCTTCACCTGTGTCCCACAGGAGCCGCATCCCACTGAGTGTGACATCAGTGTCCCGGTAACCACGCCGAAGCCCAGAGCCCTGGCACCCGGCAGGTGAGAGCAGGGTCAGGAAAGCGTCGCGTACTCTTCCGCCCCCAGATTCCGCCCAAGAGGCTGCCAGCCCCCACTCCCGTCCCCTCGGCTCCTCCCCACTGCAGCTCCGACCCGTTTATCACCCTGTTTCTTCCTTCCTTATAGTCAATTCCACAGGGCTCTCTTTCCACTATTCATACTATGGAGGTCGCTGTGTCTGAAGAACACCCCTTGCTCGACAGCACCCGGCCTCTGTCCAACACGACTCACACAGGGAGGCAAGAGGTCGGTATTCCGAGTTCCCCCGCTGCCGCTGCCGCTCCTACCATCCCTCGTCCACCTGGGAGTGAAGTCCCCTCGGCTCTGAGAGGAATGACCCAGTTACGCCAGCCTGGACTGCTCCTGACCAAACCTCCACGTCTGGTGCCCGCTCTCCACGTTCAGTGCTTAACCTCACATCCCGCTGCCTGGACAGCGCGAACCCTGCAATCATCCCGGGCAACTGCAAAGCACGCTCCCCATGGGGCGCAGACTTCAACCACTGCCCTCCCGCACACACGGCTGCCTCCACCCTGCAGGTCTGCCTGCGCTCACTCCCCCTCGCTCCACCTCTGAATGAGAAACCTCAGTCTCCGCGGAGGCGGAGCCGCCGGTCTCACCTGCTCTTTGACCTGATCACGCCCTGCGCCCCCGCCACCTTATGATCCATTCGGTTCTTCCTGACCAAGTCGCTCCTCGCCTCACAGCCCACCAACAACCGCGTCCCTGCTCACCAGCGCCCTCGACCCCGACCCCACCTTTACCCTCAGCCTCTGGGTTCCTGCAAACCCCCAGTCCTGAGTCAGTACCACAACTGTGTGCGTGTGTGTGTGTGTGTGTGTGTTACAGAACCAGGGCCTTGCACGTGCAAAGCACTGGCTGTACCACTGAGCTGCACCCCAGGCAAAACCACTTCATTCACCTTCTTCATATCGGGAAAATCGGGCGAAGAAAATGCAGAGCAGATGAATCGGATCACTAAATATTTATTAAATCCATGTTCAGGCCCTCAAAACTATTCAGCAACTCACTTATCCTTGGCCAAGCCCTAGAAAATCCTCCACTTTCCAAGTCCTGTGCCCAGGCTCACCCTAGGTAGATGAAGGTAACTCATACATCAGTGAAACTACAGGTCACCAAGTTCCTTCAACTACCCAAACATCTCCTCCCTCCTTTCTACTCCTTAATTTCTCTATTTTCATCCGTTTCCTCTTAAAGGAATTGACATGACTTTACCTATTAAAGCTTACCCTTCCACCTGCTTTCTTATTTCTATACTTTAGTCTGGTCAACTATTCCCCTCCTTCTGTATTTGCAATGTCTCTAGTAGTTCTTTACCGTCAACCTATAATATATTCATATTATGCCATATGAAAAAAGAAAGAAGAGAGAAGGGGAGGGAGAAAGGGACAAGAGAGGCGGGAAGAACAGAGAAAAGAAAACCCCCTCATTTCGGGCTCCTTCTGTCTACACTTACGCTGAGGATAAGTCTTTCCACTTCTCCCCCTCAGTCAACAGGGAGCCATCTACACCACACCTGCTCTGAGAAAAGTAAGTGGCCTCCCAAGGGCCAAACGAAATGCCTCCAACACTGGAATCCGCTGGAATGCAAGGCGGCTCTAAGATGTCAGGAATGACTGGCAAACATTTCTGAAATGAACAAACTAGTGAAAGAATTCAGAGCTCAAGTACCCAAGTCCCCTGCCATCTAGACCAGGGCCCTTCCAGCAGATTAGCATTTCCCATAATCTAAATGATGGTTTAAAAGACTAACTTTGTCACAGTATGAAGGATGTGAGCTCAAAAATTTGAAGTGGCATGGTTCCAATAATTGCAGATTTCTTGATTGCTCTAATTTTGTTTAATTGGGTTGATGGGGGGTATTTATATTCCCTCTTCTAGCTCTAATCTCATGGAAATCACTGGGCAAACTCCAATATATGCATCTTTATATGTTGAAAATATGCAATGGAAAATATGCAGTATCACCTATTCTTCAGAAGAAACATGTATCTGTGTGAGTTTGGCTTAGGCAATGATTTCTTACATACAACACTAAAAGCATAAGCCATAAAAGAAAAAACAGAAAAACTAGATTACACCAAAATTTAAAACTTTGCACTTCAAAGAACACTATTAAGAAAAGTGAAACACAAAATTGAAAGAATAGGAGAAAATATTTGTAAATCACATATCTGATCCAAAATATATAAAGAACTCTTACAAATCAACAATTTTAAAACCCTAAATTTTAAAGTGTGCAAAGGCAGGATTGCAAATTCAAGGCCAGCCTGGAAAGTATGAGTCAAAAAAAAAAAAATTAAAAAGGCAATGATGTAGCTTAGAAGTAGAGTGACTCTAGGTTCAATTCCTAGTACTACCAAAAAGAAAAGCACTAAGAACTTAAGCAAACCACTTTCAATATTCATACAAGATAAACAAATAACCAACAAGGACATGGGAAGATGTTCAACATCATTAGTTATTAGAGAAATGCAAACCAAAACTACCAGGTACCACTTCATACTTAGTAGGATGATGTAATTTTTTTAATAGAAAATAACAAGTGTTGACAAAGAAAAATTAAAACTCTCACTGCTGCTGGAAATGTAAAATGGTGCTAGTTTACCACTAGGTAAACCAGCTTGGTAGTTCCTCAAAAATGTAAAGTGGAATTACCACAAGGTACAGCAATTCTACTCGTGGTGTGTACTGCACAGAACTGAAGTGTACTGCCCAACGTTAACCAAACTCCAAGTTTAAAACAATGGTCCTCAAGACTGACCTCACTTCTAAAACCAACTATAAATTCAGGTGGTTTCCAAAACGACCTTCAGACCAATAACCTGAGTTCTACGAGGAAGACTCACAGAACTTAGCAGAAGTTATTACTCAATTATGGTTTACCAGGAAAAAGGATACAGATTAAAATTGGTCAAAGGAAGAGAATTCAAGGATGCTAAAAGAGATATTACAACTAAATGTAATGTATGACCTATTTTATTTTGTTACAATGAATATTTCTAGGACAACTGGTGAAAGGGTCTATAGGTAACAATAATGCATCAGTAAGACATTGTGTCAGGCAGGGCATGTAGCTCAGTGGTAGAGAGCTTGCCTAGCATACATGAAGCCCTAGGTTTGATACTACTGGTGGGAGGGAATATATATATATATATATATATATATATATATATATATTCAATGTTTATTACATATTTTGACATTTGTATTTGGATTACGTAGGATAACATTTCTGCTTTTAGGAACTGTACACTGAAATATTTAAGTGTCCCTTTCACAGTTTATTCTCAAGTGATTAAAATATTTTATTCATATAGATATTTACACACACAGAGAGACAGAGAACAGATACATGAATTCTGATTCCTACAACTTTAAAAGAAAAATATCCCCCTATTGCCACAGCTCACAAACATACAGAATAAGGAAGCTGAATTCATTCAGATAAAGTTTAAGTCAAAATAGGAATTGTTATTTTCTAGAAAATTGAAGAGTGGAAAATATAACTGAAGACATTTATTAGAACTAAAGTGGAAAACTTTGTTTTAAAATTTAAAACCCTATTAAGGGGCTGAAGATGTAGCTCAGTGGTGCCATACCTTCCTGCCAAGTGCAAGGTCCTGAGTTCTATTCCTGGCACTGAATTAATTAATTATTAATTAATTTTTAAAACAAAAATAGAAACCCTATTAAAAGGAAACATCATCTTGGTAAATGAACTTATCACCCTAAGAGGTGACATACATCGCATAAATTAAAAATATAAACAAATGTGACAATGAATTAGATAAATTCACCCATAACAGGTTATTAAGGAAAACCAGAAATATTTGGGCACATATTTCTAAATTTTACAATTTAATATCAAATAAGGCAAAAATGTTGCCCTTTGGTGTTACAGAAACAACCCTGACCTGCTCCAGCCAGAGGCTTTGGCTATTAACAAATACATTACTGTTGATATTCATATAAGAGAATTATCAAGGAAATCAGAATTTTTAAAACTATTGAAAGCATTACAGAAACCTAGATTATTATGTTGATAGTATATTCGCCAGAATGTACACGAGACTATAGTTTCTAGAAAGCACATCTAATAGACAATTCCTTTCCACTTACCTGTTACTTCTTTTAACTGATTTGTTCTGCCATGGTGGATCTATCACAATTACATCAAATGTTTTCCTGCCTGAAATCAAACATACAATTTCAGAAAAGGCCCCCAATATGAATCAGATGAATCACAGAAGACTGGGGTGATGAATGTATGCCGAGCAGGAGGGCCCTGGGCTCAATCCCTAGCACACAAAAATAGGAAAAGAGGGCCAGGGATTTACCTCAGTGGCGCCACTGCCTGCCTCGCAAGTGCAAGGTCCTGAGTTCGATCCCCGGTACCAAAAAAAAAAGGAAAAGAAACATAAACGTGTTCTCCAAAACTGAGATACTTTCACTACAGGTACAAATATACTGGCATCCATCAAAAGAACCTACAGTAGTTACTCAAATATAATAACAATTTCTCTAAAAGTTGACATTTCTCTTGCAAGTTAGTGACTGACATTTTCATTTAATTTCACCTATTGCTATTTTTACAGAGACTACTTGCAGGTGATTGCAATTCACTGAGCTGGACACTAATAATCTGTAGATTCCCTATAAATCTAATATGGTCTTTTCAAACGTAGGTGATTTTTTTTTTGGTACCAGGGATCGAACTCAGGACCTTGCCCTTGTGAGGCAGAAACATGGGTGATTTTTGTTTTTTGTTTTTTGTTTTTTTGGTACCAGGGATCGAACTCAGGTCCTTGCACTTGCAGGGCAGGCAGCAGAACGACTGAGGTAAATCCCCGGCCCCGCAGATGATTTTTGAAACATTTTTATTTTTTATTTTCAAATACTTTTAGTCTTCTAAATAACTGATACATTAATCATAATACAATTTCTCCAATTATCTATTCATGTTCCTTTTCTCTGGTCTAGGATCCAAAACTAGGATCGCATACCGCATTAAGTTCCCACAGCTCCTAAGTCCCCTCCAGCTAGCTGAATTCTCAGTCTCTTTGTCCTTCATAGCCTCGACATTTTAAAAGGCTCTCAGTTTGTTATTTTACAGAACGCCCCTTAATTTGGTTGTGGTGTTTCCTCATAATTAAATTTAGGCTGTCTTAGACACATGTGGGGGCACACGTGTAATCCAGCACTCTGGGAAGCTAAGGCAGGAAGATCACACATTTGAGCCCATCCCAGGCAACTTAGTAAGATGCTGTCTCAAAATGAAAGAGGGCTGAGATGTACCCCAGGGCAAAGGCCCTGGGTTCAATCCCAGTATCACAAATATATATATATATATAGAGAGAGAGAGAGAGAGAGAGCAACAGACAGACAGACAGACAGACAGAAGACAGAGAGAGATACATTTTGTTTGTGTTTGTTTGTTTTTGTCAAGAATACCAGCAAAGTAGCATCTGGTGCACTCTCTCTGCCAAGGAGGTGGTTCAGGATTCCCAACGCCTCACCACTGGAGAGCTCTCAAAGTGCTGTCTGCCAGGCTTCTCCACTTTCCCCCCTAATTAACAAATCTCTTATGGGGAGATCCCTGAGGACAATGGAAGCATCCTGAGTCTCGTCTGCACACCCACTATTTTGACAGCCAGTTATTACTGTGGTGTTTGTCAAGTGGAAATTCTCTAGTTCCACCGCTATCTGCTTCAACTAATTAGCATTTTGCTGTAATGAGGACCTGTCCCTTCTCAAACTTTTCTTTTTCCTTTTTATTTATTTTTTCCTCCTAGTTTTTAGTTCAGTGCAGGTTCTGTCCAGCTGGCGGAAGGACGCGGGGAAGATGGAAAGTTTGGGGAGGCAGGCCGTTCCCCTGAAGATAGAGGCTGAGGTCCAGGCCAGCAGGTGCAAAGGGGCTTCGCAGCCAGCACCCAGCACCCAGCACAAGCAAACCCATCGCCCACCCCTGGGCTCCAGGCGGCCCCTGCGCTACTTCTGCTGCCCTCGTCAGATCTGACTGCCGAAGAAATCATCCACGTGTCTTTTTTCTTTTAAAGATATACTTTTGTACATGCACAATCGTACACATAATCAAAAGAGCACAAATTAAAATAAGGTGACCCCTTTTAAAGTATTAAAGTAACAAAGATCAAAGAATGGAAAATTTCCTCAGACATAGCACAATTTTTCCCATTCATTTGTCACTTTGTCATTTACAACTGAAGAATTTGTGACATTGCTGCCTGGATAACCAGCCATGTGTAAGATGGCTTGATAGCAATTAAAAGAAACTTTTCATTAGTAAACTATCTTGTAGTTGCTTGATACTTGACATTTTGCTATAAAATGTTCAAACAATAATAGCAGATTAAATTCAACTTCACCAACACACCTCTTACCTATCACATTCCTTAGAATATTATAATTTATTAAAAACATAAATCACCGAGCTAAGAACCTAATACAAATTATCTCACTTAATCCTCAAAATGACCCTGATGCAGGAATGACCGTGCACATTTTATAGAGTGGGGACTGAAGATCAGTTTTGTGAAGCAAATAGGATGGAACTCAGTTAAGCTTCAGAACCTAAACTCAAATACAAGTCTGTGTCAGCGTGGGCTTCGATATTTAAATAGTTTAACTTTGTACAGGAAAATGTTTCAAGGAATTTTAGAGAATAAGCTTGAACATTACCTTAAATTGTATCCTAGGGCCAAGGATGTAGCTCAGTGGCACAGTGCCTGCCTGGCAAGCGCAAGATCCTGAGTTTGATCCCCGGTATCAAAAAAAAAAAAATTGTAACCTAAATGGCTAGGAAGGATTTGAGGATTTTAATAACTAAAATTTTCTACTTTGATCTGAAGAAAAGTCATTTGGCTAAAGACAATTGCTCCACTGTACTGTGAATTCCCAAGTACAAAGAACTAACTTTATTTGCTCTCTTGGGGACTAGCGTGGCCCTTTATTGATAAAAAAAATTTTTAATATTTTAAAAAGCAAACTTAGCCCTTTAAAATTGAATTTTTTAAAAAATTACACTGGGAAAATCATTTATCCTATCATCCTAAATGGTAGCTCCCATTTAAAATTCAGATTAACTTCTGAGATCACAACACACACACAAAATATATTTTTTTATAATAATAAACATAATTACTTACAGTTCAGAAGTGGTTGCATACAAGAAATATCAGACAAAAGAAAACTGCAGTTTGGTGGTAGCAAGTATTTCTGTCCCATTAAAGTAATCATTTTTGAAAAGCTAGAGTTGTTTTCAACAACTCGTGAAAATAAATCCTGCTCTGCCACAGACAAATCCTCTTCTATCAGCTGCAACGTCTGAAGTTCCTTTTCACTCAGAGCAGGCAGATGCTTCGCCATTTCACATAAGCCTGACAGGCTGCAGGCATCATGTGGTATGGCGTTGGGTTCACTACATTTGTCCTGCTTTTCAAAAAATTGATAAAGAAAACCACTTTTGAGGCCTTCTTGGATTAATTTTAAGGATCCATCCAAAATCAGCTCTCTGATCTGTAAAAGAATTTAAAGAACATTAAACAGACACTGACATTACAATGATTTTCTAAAGAAGAAAGTTCCTACTGTGCTTTGAATATCTGGATTTATGCATTAAAACCAACATTCTTAGTGTTTACAGAAAAATAATTTTACACTACAATGAATAGAACGTTCAAGTGTCTCTTGGAACCGCTGTTTCCTAATTGCAGAATGTAACAAACTTCACAACAACCTCAAAATACACACGTCTGTGCTCTAATGTGCAGGACAGCCAAGCATGGCGGCATTTGGGAGGGTGGGATGGGAGGACCATGAGTCTGAGGCCTGCCTGGGCCGCAAAGTGAGAGCCTGCCTCAAAAACACCAAAACATAAGTCGGTAAGTAATAAGCAGAAATGATACAAGATGAATTTGATAATCTGGATGTTTCTAGAAGAAAATGGAATTTCTAATCTATGAAGAGAAGTTTAAGCCACAAGTTTAATCTTAAGGTTTTCCTAGTGATCTAATTTTTTTTTTTTTTTTGGTACCAGGGATCGAACTTGGGTCCTTGCACTTGATCTAATTTTTAAACAAACATAATTTTGATTTTGCATAATACAGCTTGAATTATTCAAAAGAGAAACTCTTTATAAGTGAACATACACACAGTTTTGCAGAAACAACTACAATAATTACAAAAATAGAAGCTGAGTTCTACTTCTAGACAAAGAGTGGCAAAGGTCAGATTTCCCCTTTCACTCGAATACTTTTTCACTGTATTTTGTGTAAATTTTGATCTTTATCCTCTCCCCAAAAGAAAGTTAATATGAAGTAAATTGAATAAGAAGCAAATCTAACCATACTGCTTCCCGCAGCACCTCACGGCCTACACGTCTTCAGAGGAGCTCACTGGCCCTCACGTGATCCGCCGCTTCCCGCCTCCCGCTTTCACCTTAGCCACGCTCTCCTTCGTATTCCACAGTCCAGCCATCCTGAACTTTCTTTCTCTGGTTCCTTCCACAGCCTTGTTCCACTTTGCTTCTGAGCGTCAGCAAACGCTTTGTTCTCTTCATCATCCTCTTGACAATTCAATGCCTGACCGGCTTGAAGAGAATGAGCAACTCCATGAGCCCCCTTCGTCCACTGCCGTCCTCATGTCTGGGTGGGACTCAGGCTGCGTGCACCTCGGTACCCTAGAGTCCTCCACAGATAGCGCTTTTCACTCCAGAAAACCTTCAAGACTGTATGTATCTCAGCCTCCAATGAGATACTAGGGTTTAAACCAGGCCTGACGTACAGGTGGCCTTCAATGAATACTTGTAAGTAAAGTGAACTGATCTCATTAAGAAGGAAATGGAGGGCCGGGGATTTAAGCTCAGTGGTGCTGCCGCCTGCCTCACAAGCGCAAGGTCCCAAGTTCGATCCCCCGTACCAAAACAAAAGTAAATGGATAAAGCTATAAATGAATAAACAAATAGGAAGGAACAGATTCAGGCAGATTCAGTGAAAAGGCAAGTTCTACTCCAGGCTGTTTCTTAATGTTTCTTAACACCACCTGTCCATCTTCGTTATTAATAGTCCTCATCTCAAAAGGAGGTTGGGAGAAGGAAGACAGGAGAATAAGGAAGGGTAATGGATGAATAGACTCAAAGTTTATTATATACAAGTATAAAAGTGCCATAATAAACCCATTATTCTGTGTAATTAACATGTACTAAGAAAAAGTCTTTATACCAACTCTTTTAATAGTTAATTCCTAAAACTACATTACAGGTATACACAATACAGTAATTCCACTTCTGAGTATAAACCCACAAGAATTAATAACAGAATCTCATAACCTGGTTTCTCTTCAGATGATATAAATCTTTTGTCTTTTGCTAAAAACAGTCTCAGAGGGCTGGGAGTGTAGCTCAGTGAAAGAGCGCTTACCTAGCATGCACAAGGCCCTGGTTTCAGCCCCAGATCGACAAAGACACAAACAAGTAAGTCCTTTACACCTGTGCAGATACTGCATTGTCCACAACAACGGAAAGGCGGAAACAAGCCATAGTGATAATGAAAAATAGCTGGATAAGCAAAGTGTGATATTTATGTAAAATAAAATATCATTCAGCCTTAAAAAGGAAAAATTCTGATACATGCTACAACATGAGTGAGGCCTGAAGACATTACGCTAAGTGGAATAAGCCATCAGGGATGCTGTGACCCCACTTCCAGGAGATGCTGTCCCTAAGACAGTGAAGTCACAGAGAGAGGTGGAATGAGGGGTGCCAGGGGCTGGCAGAAGGGGTGACAGAGTCACTACTTTATGGGCACAGTTTTATTTTGGGATAATGAAAAACCTCCAGAGATGGACACTGGCAATGCCACAGAATTATCACCTAAAATTTAAAATGGTAAAACGTTGAAATGGTAAGTTTTTGTTATATATACCCTATCACATTATTTTAAAAAGAGAAAAGTGCCAGCATTGTGGTATGTGCATGCAGTCCCAGCTACTCAGGAGGCTGAGGCAGGAGGACTGCCTGAACACACCAGTTTGAGGCTCAAGGTTGTCAGCCTGGGCAACACAGAGAAAAGAGAGAAACTCTCTCTTACAAAAATAATTTTTAAAAAAGTAAGAGAGAGAGACATCCAGCGTCCTACCATCATATTAACTTAACATGTCTAAAACTGAAATCATCATTCCTCCTAAGTCAAATTCCAACCCCAATTTCCCCATTTCAATCAAAGGAATATCATACAGAGTAAGGTTTAAAATATTTGTATACTGGGCCAGGGATTTAGCTCAGTGGTTCCAGCGCCTGCCACACAAGCGCAAGGTCCTGAGTTCGATCCCCAGTACCAAAAAAATAAAAAATAAAAATAAAAATAAAATATTTGTACACTGTCTGTTTCCTCTCATTTCTTTAACCCCTAGACCTTTTATTTCTGAGTTCTAGAAATATATTCTTCACATTATTCAGGCTTTCTTCCACCGTTATTTTAGTACATTATCTCACCTAGGAGATAGGTGAGATCACGTATGACAATAGGCTTTAATAACTTCTCTCTGCAGTGCTCGGGATGGGACCCTGGGCCTCACACATGCTAGCCAAGCACTCTACCAGTGAGCCACATCCTCAGCCCAGCTTCTGTAACTTCTAAAATCTTAAGCTAGGGCCAGGGATATAGCTCAGTGGTTCCGCCACCTGCCTCGGAAGCGCAAGGTCCTGAGTTCGATTCCCAGTTCCAAATAAATAAATAAATAAAATAAAAGCTTAAGCTAATATTGCACAGGTTTCCTCATGTTACCCATTTAAACATAAGTATGTGTAGTATCCATTATAGAAATAACAATAAGTCACTCTGAAGTTCCAACTCTGATCAAAATAATTGCTTAATTTTTACAAAAATCCTCATTTATGTGGTCCATTCATTTCACAGTAAATCACACAGATCTTCCGATATGGTCAACGAACACTTTACACCTACCTTTGTATGGTATTCCATAGCATCCAATTCACCTTGATTGAAAACAACACATTTCTTGCGCTTCTAAAGAATAGATAAATTACAAGGGAGAAGTTATATTGTCATCTATCACAATAGTGACATTTTTAAATATACCAATAGTTCTTTTTTATTTTTCACATTTTCTATATGGTGTATCTCAGTCTTTATGAAGTAATAATTTCCACTGAGGGCAAAATCAGTACAAATGTATACACTCAGGAGGTAGCATTCCCAAGGTTAAAGGGGGTGGGGGTGAAAGGTCACCTCACCCTGTGCAGTTAATAGGAACTGGTTCACATGATAAAATGTAGCACCAACAGCCACAATAAAGAAAGGAACTACAATTCTGCATGAACATTAACCTGTACAGTATCACCTGTCAGTTGATATATATATGACATAATTATTCTCAACTTTCTTTATTTTTGAAAAGCAGAACTATCCATAGGCTATCAAGGAAATTCCACCGTACTTTCAATAGCTCTTTATGATTGACCTGAGGATTAATTACAAATCAATATTAACATGTTACCAAACTCATAGCCAGCTAAAATACAAGTCTGTTGGCTGAATAAATAAATAAACTTAAAGACCACACTAAATATATAATTTGCTTTAACATATAAGAAATAAAGGTAGGCTTTGTCAAGATGACATTTGTTATTTAATGTATATTACTCTGTATTTATAAAGGCCTTTATAAATGATTATTTATCTGAATTAGCAACAGTAGCAACATTACCTACATACTATTTCCTGAAATATCAAACAACTGTGTATATTTTCTTTTCTGTGTCTGGCACATAGATGATCAATAAATATCTACTCAAAGGAAAAAATATACAGCAAAAAATAATCACAAGGATATTAAAAGTTCTACTTCCCATACCTATACCAAGGTATCTCTATTACTTTCCTTTCCTAGTTCTATTTTCTTTCTTTTCTACTCAGTTATAAGACACATGAGGGCAGGGTTTGTGTTTATCTGGTTTCATCACTCTATATACAAAAGCACACAGAAAGAGCTCAAACATTTCTTGGTGATAATAAACACTATTCACATCACTAACAAAAGAATACTGATAATTTATCTAAAATGGGTTTGTATAATCACCTCTGAGCTCCTAAAATATACAAAAAGGATGAAAGCAGAAATAACTGATCATGTATGACATTCTCAAACTTTACAAAAGGACTGTACCACCAGGGCATGTCTATGAAAATATATATATATATATATATATATATATATATATATATTTTATAAACACATACATTTTCCATAGTACCTTTCTCTTTCATCACTAGAAATGTTTCAAAAATATCAAACTTCTTTCAAACTCTTATTATATGGGCTGATCTCCCAGGGACAGGTCCCTAAAAATCTCTCAAAAGCCATTTACAGCTTTGGAATTTTGTACAAAAAGAAATGTTTTTTAGTAAAAATACACCATATGAATAGCTAAACAAAAAAGGTTTTGTTGTTGTTTGGTTTTGTTTCATTTATAGAATATTCACTTTCAAGCCAACTTTGCTTACGCTTGAAATATGCAATTTGGTCTCCTAAGGATGGCAGAATGTTAGAAGAGTTAAAAATCACACTGGATATAGTAAAGTCTTCTTAAGCTTATGGATTCTTCTTTATACTTAACAAATCACAAGATATTTGAAATGCTGGAATGAAAATTTTACACTCTGTAGAAGAAAATAAAAAATTTTTAAAGCATTCTACCTTCCCAATAATAGAAGTGGAGATTTCTTTTTTAACACTATTCATTGCATCTTCTTTTTCATTACTTTGTTGGCATTCTTCATGAACAGCTGCAGTTATATACGGTTTGGTGACATCAAACAGTTCAGATCGAAAAGCATATTTCTGAGTGAACATTCTACAATTTCCTCCATCCTTATTCTCTGGCTTAGTGGTAGAGTCAGAAGCAATCAAGGTAGCAGAGGATCCAAAAGAAGACATAGAATCTGTCTGCAGAGAATCAAAGCAGACAGAAGTGGACTCATTTTTCCTGCAGCAAGGCTCATGAGGCTGATGAACTAGATAGTTTATCTTGTTAATGAAAGAAAGGTGATCCAGTAACCACCCAGGTGACAGCTGCTGTACCACAGACATTCTTAGCCTTAGGACAAAGTCTGGGAATTAGGAATCTGAAGTACTGCTCAACTTTGAAGATCAAGTTCGTAAATCCCCTGTATTTCAAGCTGGAACCCCAGTGTGATCCTCCTGCTGTCTTCGTGGGCCCTCCATAACTTCACTGCTGTGGTCCTTGCGTCTAGCCACTAGGTCCGTATCCTCCACGAAAGGAAGTCATTGAGTCCTAAAAGGTAAAAAGTATCCATCAAATCAAATAATCATGCATTACCTATGTGAATTCATCCTTTTCAATGAACTTAAAGAGTCACAGATTCTAAAAGGAGTTGTTAGCAGATCAGTGCTTGTTTTTCCAAACTACACATGCTATAGTAAATGAAGCCCCTTCTCCAAAATCACTGGCCTCCCTAACCACTTCTATCAGTGGAGAAACAGGGTTAAAAGACTGGACTGGTCAGAGCTAGTGCAATTTTAATGCCACACACAAGCACTAAGTCCTAGCAAAACTGCAAAGTTAAGGCTTAGATCTACCTCAAGTAACTAGTTTCAAGCTCCTTTATCTTTTTCTCAAAAGATGGTTTACGGTTCTGAATACAGCTTTCTAAATGTAATATAATGGAGAATTTAAGCAAGGGGAGGGATGGGGGAGAAAAAAAAATAAGCCGTTAGTGTCAGAGTTAGTAATAATAGCATTTAGATTCAAATTTCTAAGTCCAAGTATTAGCAGTCTGACCATGGAAAAGCTGCTTGATCTCTGAGCCTCGAAGTCATCATTTTTGTGACATCTCCTTTTACAGAATGGAAAGAGATAATCCACACGAAATGCTGCGCACAATACCTGACATACAGCAACTGTCATGTAACTGATTACTGCTAAGGGCGACGGTGACCCTGGGCATCCTTTGTCCCCTTCATGGTCACCACATGAGGTAAGAAAACCCTGTACAGACCCTCCTTTAATGACTGAGCTCCATTCCTGCAAGCAGCTCATTAATTGAATGAGTCACTAAATGAGGAATTTGCATAGAATATGTACATTTCCATATTCAGAACATAGAACTGGTCAAAGGACACTCCAACTTGATGGCTTTTATTTGCATAACTCTTATATGCATGACTGTAATGTATAAGAGAACATGAAGCTACAGTACTGTACTGTACAGTACAATCAGCAAAAATTACCAGTACTTCAAAACAAATGTAAACTGTACCAAAAAAAGACACTGAGGCGCTATAAACAAGATATACGGAACTGTACAAAAAAAATCTGCTCAGTGGGTTGGAAGTCCGAACAGCACACCTCTTTCACAAGTCCAGTCAGTCGTTAAACGGGCAGGTCGTTAAACAAGGAATGTCTGCATTAGACATCATATTATCAAAATACTTCAATGAAAATGGTTTTTCTTCAGAACACATGCTCTCCAAAATAACTTACAGCAGCCACCAACAAATCATCACATCAGCTGGGTTCAGGCAATATTGATCCCTCACATGTCAGAAAAGGCAGGGATGAAAATTACTCAGAAAATCCAGGATATCTTATGAGACAGCAATGACATGCAAAGTGCTCATCAGTAATCAACAGATGCAATCCAGATACGATCCTTAGTAGATCAATAAAGCATCTTTTCCTGTATTCCTCACATGCCCTTTTCCAGGTATCTGAGCAGCTTCCATGAACTCTCCAAGGTTACACTGACCACACAGCTGATATTGCTGGGAGCTGTGTTTTGAATGTGCCATTTTGGCTCTTTAATGAAGGAGCTTCTGCAGGTCACTGTGAGGGCCCAGTGAAACTAAAATATTTCTAATACGGTATCACAGAGCCATGAACCTGCCGGACTCTGTGAAAATCATGGGAAATGCCAAATATCCTTGACAGCGAAACTGGCATCAATGGAGCCAGCGCTCTGTCCCCCTCCATAGTAAATACCTTGGAGGACAGAAAGACATATAAAGCATGTAGTGAAGGAGCTGGCTAGCCAGGAGTGTGAGACAAAAATTAAACCCGTAAAACAGCCACAGGGCCAAGAGTAACAGTGACAATTGTTCAGTTGTTCCTGTGTTTCCAAAGTGTATGTACCACCCTTGAGAAAACATGTGCACCCATATGAGACATTTCCACAAATCGAAAAGTTTCAAAGGTGGGCCAGGGATTTAGCTCAGTGGTTCCACCGCCTGCCTCGCAAGCTCAAGGTCCCAAGTTCGATCCCTGGTATCAAAAAAAAAAAAAAAAAAATTCAAAGGTAGCATCACTTTGAAAGAGTTTGTTAATATCTGAGAATTTATTTAACTCCATACGAAGTAGTTTTATCATCACCGGAGGAACTGCTGGAAGCAAACAGTCCTCAGAAGTGAGCCAGTAAGAAGATCGCACTGGTGAACCTTGCTGGCCCTTTGGCACAGCTGTTCTGCCTGTGCCGTAGGTGATCAGCAGGTCTCAAAAGACCGTGCTCCAGATCACTCGCTTCTGCTTCGAAACAGGCAAACCACATGTTTTTTGGATACTGAGGCAAAAAAAAAAAGCAACCTCATATCCAAAAATTATCGAGTAGCTTATTTTCCCCAGTATCAGACACCACAGAAATAATACGTATTTTAGAAGACATTTGCCCTTTCATGAATGCTGCGTTCATTTGCACAACAAGCTTAATGACTGTGCCTAAAGTACAATAGGCTGCTGGCATTCTTTAACGACTGAGTTCCACTCCTGCACTAGGTCGTTAAATGAACTGGTCACTAAATAAGGAATTGTACATAGTACGTACATTACAATATCCAGAACAGGCTGGGGATTTAGCTCAGCGGTTTCGCCGCTTGCTGCGCAAGCACAAGGACCCAAGTTCGATCCCCAGCACCAAAAAAAAAAAAAAAATTTCGCCGCCTGCTGCGCAAGCACAAGGACCTGAGTTTGATCCCCGGTACAAAAAAAAAAAACAAACCAATATTCAGAACAAAGAAATGGTCAAAGGAAACTCCAACTTGATGACTTTGCTTTATTTGCATCACTCTTACATGGAGTACTATAATGTATAACAGAACATGAAACTACAGTACTGGACAGTACAATCACCAAAAATTACAGTACTGTATAAACAAGGTAGTGTACAAAAAAAGACACTGAGGCTGTATCAACAAGATGTACAGAACTGCACAAAAAATAAAAGGACGAAGGTGTAAGTCCGAACAGCCTCGCCTCAGTCATAAATCCAAGCAGTCCTTAAACGGACAGGTCGTTAAACGAGGAATATCTGTAATGGGAAGTGAAATCTAGGCATTTAGAAATACTGAAACTCAGATAATACAGGCGGTTTGCCCAAAAGTTACAGTTCTGTTTAATTTCTGCCAGACCTAAGTACCCAAGCTGTAGAGAGCTCTCTGCACGCTCCAGGTGTTGAGCAATGCCTGTCACTGGGGTCAAACTCAGGGAAGCAGAGAGGTCCTTATTTTAGCAGAGTAAGCTACTGTACTTAATGCACCCTTCTCCCACTTCTCCCACATCCACCCCCTGGCCACGTCCAACCTCTCAGATGATCCTTCCTTACTTTCCTCAGGCAACCGTGAGACCACGGAGAGCCCGCGAATCTCCAGGCCGAAGCCCTGCGGGGCCACACGGGCGAGATCCTCGTAGCTGAATGTACCCACACTCGGCAGCCTCTACCTCCCAGAAAGCGCACACAGCCTTCCCAGATTCTCACCATGAAAACAGCCCCCATTTAAACAGGGTCGTGAAGGACATCCCTTTCCCGGCAAAGGCCATTTCTCTTGTCCTAAACGTAAGTGGGCGCCGCCATGTTGCTGTACGGAAACCGTTTCCAGAGAGATTTGGAGCGCTCAGGCCATTCCTCGGCGACGTAGAGCCCGGTGGTCTTCAGAGCCAACTTTAAGGGTCAGGGCGCACACAGTCCAAGAGTCGGCAGTGTGCCCGCTGGGCTACGGGGAGCAGCCCGCACGCAGACTTCTGGCGACTGGGAGCGGCGCTTGAGAATTGCGTGTGATGCGCTGCGTGATGACGTAAGCGCCGGCGGAGATTTTTAAAAATTCAAACCGCCTTGGCGGGCGGAGACAATAACTCTTGTCTGGGCGGCTGCTATCCTCTCTGGCCATCAGTTGTCCACCTCATAGAAATTCGGCCTCTGGGTCTCGTCAGGAAACTGGAAGGAAGGTAAGTAGTGACGCTGGGTTAACTTTGTTCGTCCAAAACTATCCCAGAGGGAGAAAGTAATGGTGAGGGGCAGCGTGTTAGTGTTTGCTGTCGTCAGAGGCCTGGCGCCGAATCTGCGAGGCGCTGGATTCAGAGTCCAATGATTTCTCAAGGTAGAGGGGCAGGGCCAGGGGCACTGATGGGAGAATAGAGGCCGGAGCGGGGAACCAGGGAAAGGGGTGAGGAGGGAGACCGAGAGAGGACCTGAATGAGGCATTTTTGCTCGTGTACTAGTGTGGCATCGCAGTGGCCGTGTCCGGAGTATCTGAAGTCATCTTAAATCCTGAGAGTGCGTGTAAGTGGAGATCGGAGTGGACACGGGAGGGTGGAGAAGTCGAATAGGTGAACAAGTGTACATTAAAGGAGAAGAAACAAGACCAAAACCAAGAAAGCGTAAAAGACTAAGGAGTGCCCAGAGAAGAGAGGATAAATGTAAATGTCCTCTCTCCTGGAAGCCAGGGCCAGAGCTGAGAAAGCTGCTTGGATAGTGTCTAATGCCGCCGAGATGAGAGAGCTCCCGGCCAGGGCTCCTTCGGGTCTGAATCCCGCCCAGCTGTCTGGGTTTCTGGGTTCTTTAGCCCACCTGCAACTAAGAATCCCCTAAAATGGACAAATGAGTTTGTTTACAGCTTGACCAAATTGGGACGGCAGCTATTTCGGGATACATAGAAGCCCCCGAATTTATAGAAGAGATAGAACAAGAGTCTGGAAATAACTGTACGAAGATTTAGCCAAGCTTTGGGGCAGAGGGCTGGAAGGCTTGAATTCACCACGTTGTCGGGGCTGAGGGGAGGAAGTTGGAGAAGCTTAAAAATCGATCTCAACCTCTTGGTTACAAGATCGAAAGATGTGTCAATCCTAAATATATTATGGGACAAACTTTTAAGTAGATGTGAAAGGAATGAGATGTTAATTTGTTTTGAAAAGGAGGCAACTTATAGCCCATTTTGTAGAGTAGAAGATCTACCTTTATTGAAGAGAACATTGGAGACAGATCAATAATTGATGTAAACTGAGAAACAGTGAGATGACCATAAAGCAGGAGAGACTGGCAATAGGAAAACAGAATAGCTCCATTCTTTGTAGCGAAAGAAAAGGAGCCATGTTAAGGGGAATAAGGGAGGCTGAGGTAGTTCTTGTCAGGCAGCCTCTGACTTCTCATTGAAATGGACACAGCCAACAGCAGTAACGTGGTCAAGGTTCATATTCAGGGATTTTGCTACCATGGATACTCTTGTGAAGGCAAGCATCACCTTATTCATCTTTATATCTCCTGCATTGCCTGATACACTGCCTTGTATACAGTGAGCAGTTAATAACTGTTTCTGTATGTTGAATACTTTAAAATGAAGTTAAATAAGTATTCTTTGCAAATGAGGACTTCAGGATACATGAACAAATAATAACTCAGGGGAAGGTAGTGCATGCCTGCAATCCCAGCACTTGGGAGACTAAGGCAGGAGAGTTCCAGCCCACCCCAGGATACATAGTAAGTTCAAAGCCAGCCTGGACTACATAGCAAAAACCTGTCTCACAGAAGCCCAGGAGAAAGATTATTATGAAGAAACAGTACAATTTTTCTGCCATTCTATTTGAGAATAACGATAATAGCTGTTGCCTAATGTATCATCTACATCTAGAATGTTCTTCTAACACTGAATTTATCAATGCAGGTCATAAGCATGAAGCGCAGTTCAGTTTCCACTGGTGGTGCTGGCCGCCTCTCTATGCAGGAGTTAAGATCCTTGGACATGAATAAGCCAGGCCTTTATACTCCTCAAACGTAAGTGCCTGCACCTGTGGTTCTCTCCTGCCTGCCTCATAGTCTTGGGCAAAGAAGTTGTAAAAATGGTAAATAGATGTGGTATGAGTGATGTCCTGGTGGATCCTGTCTGTTCCTAATGGTACCTAATTTAAAATCAATGAAGCCTTAAAAACAGGCATGATACAAGGTGCTGTGTGTCATCTCCTTTGTTTCTTAAACTCCCAGTGCCAAGTGCTTTACCTGTCACCTCCTAAAAGGACAACTCTTTCCCCTTCAGAACTCTTTCCTTCTTGTTTTCCTCCTTTATTACAGAACTACTTGTTTAAGCCGACTCTGCTGTAATTCAGTACTGAGTTACAGTACTGAGATGTTTCCCACTGCCAAAGTTCTTAATCAAATCAGAGCAATATTTGCTCCAATAAGCTGTAATATGGTTGCAGCCTACCGAACACCCGCTACAGCTGTGTCTAGATGTCCGCTAAAGCCTCATGCAGTCACAGGTAGGGCTTTTTCAGAGGTGGCTGAATCTAGAGTATGTGACTGATTCATGATACAATGCTAGGATTAAGGGTGGGTGATTACTGAATCAGTCCATTATTGGTTTGGCACCACCCTAATTCTAGTGGCCTAGGGGACAGAAAGAGGCTTCTTGTCTTCTCCCTTGCTTGCTTTGCTACCTTCTGCCCTCCATTATCAGTTTCTCCTCTGTGATGCCTGTGCCGTGCCACCCCACCTTGGAGGCAGCCGACTGTGGACTGAAACCTCTACAGACTGTGAGCTAAATAAACCTTTCCCCCTTTAACTGTGGGTGTCAGGTATTTCGTCTCAGCAATGGGAAAAGTAATTAGGACAGCACCACTTCTCCAAACTTTTTCCTCAAGATTTGCCAGAAATGAGTGCTAGTGGAAACTAGAGATTTTCCTATGAGTGGTGTTCTTCAGCTAAGAGAGGGCTATTTCAAGCCACAGTGATCCTTCCCTGTTACCCAGGTACCTGTCACTTGCTAGCTGTTCTTAAATTACTTTGATTTATAGAGTACAAGCTTCTGCTACTTTTAGAAATTTGGACTACTTATCTTTTTCCTTCTGAATACTTTAAACAGATTCTTTTTGTACATGACTTATGCCAAAACATTTTAGGTCTTGAATTGTACTAGGAAAAGGTTGCCACTGTCAATGTTTATTGTCCATAATTTAAATAATATATGTTAAGGGGCCGGGTAGCTCAGTGGTTCGGCCGCCTGCCTTGCAAGCGGACGGAACTGAGTTCAATCCCCGGTACCAAAAAAAAAAAAAATATCTATCTATCTATCTATCTATCTATATATATATATGTGTGTGTGTGTGTGTGTGTGTGTGTGTGTTAAGTACAGGTACATTCTGATAGTTTAAAAGAAAAAACTTCAAATGTTGCTAGTATTCTATGATTGAACATATATTTATTTTTACTTGATTCTTAAGGTTGCTATCTATAAATGTACAAGTTTGAAGATGAAATCATGGTGTAGAACAGATTTTGCTCTGCTTCTTAACATTTTAACATTATAACATACTGTGTCTTAGCCCATCCCACTCATAACAGCTAAGATTGCTGCTAAGAATGTTCATGATTTTGAATAATGTTTACAGGTATCAGGGAGGAAGTATTGGTTCCAACATATTTCCAGAAGTTTTCTGAACTGAAATTTTTATGTTTATTTTAAAGAGTTATTTTTCTACTTTCTTTAAAGCAAAGAGAAACCAACGTTCAGCAAGCTAAGTGTAAACAAACCTACATCTGAAAGAAAAGTCTCTGTATTTGGTAAAAGGTAAAGATACTTTTTATTCATTCTATTAAAGGAATTCTTATAGCCTTGCATTGATACACTAAGAAAACCAAAATTAGATGATGTGGTCTCTGGAGAGAAAAATTCTTATCTAGTTTTCCTGTTTGAAATGATTAAAATGTTAAGTTATACCTGCTGTGACTGGTACTAATAAATACATTAACACATTCAGACCACTATTTGTTATAAGTGAATACTTAATTGAAAATCAAGTCTGCAGTCACTATGAAGTCATAAATTGTAAAATAAGGTGGAATTATCTTCTAGTTCAGAATTTGAGTCTTACACTCTTAATGATTAATGAGGACTCCAAAGAACTTTTGTTTTGTGGGCTATAATATTAACCATATTAGAGAGTAAACTGAAAGAATTTTAAAATGTATATTAATTCAGTTTAACAGAACAATAAGCCTATTACATGGTAACCATAATTAACATGCTTTGGGGGGAGTTTGGCTTTGTTCGTGTATTTTTCTTTTGGTAGCAGGGATTGAACTCAGGACCTTGTACTTGCGAGACAGGTGTGGTACCACTGAGCTAAATCCCCAGCCCTATATTTTTTTTTATTTTTTGGAAACAGAGTCTCACTCTAGTCCAGCCTATCCTTGAACTCACTGTGTAGCTCAGGCAGGCCTCAAACTTGAGATCCTCCTGCCTCAGCCTCCAAGTGCTAAGATTACAGAAGAGTGCCACTATGTCTGGCTGTATGTTTTTAATTTTTTTAAAAGAATTTATAAGCAAAACCATTTCAGTGAAAAGAGTGACATTGTTTTACAGTTTTGCAAATCTTGTTAATATCTGCCTTAATAGAAGACCCGTATATTGTCATGTCTACTTCTGCATTCAGTCTTTACAGTGCCATAGGTCATGTAACGAGCCTTGAAAACTGCCCTGTACACTCACGAAAAGATGAGAATGAAGTGAGCAAATAACATCTAGTTTTATTATGCAGACAGATTCGACTTTTCAGTGATCCCTAGATAACACTTTGAGAACCACCAGCTGAAGTGGCTGCCAGTGATCTGGGCTGGAGGCCGGGAAGGGTTTACTGCAGCAGGCTGAAAAATGTCTCATCTCTCCCCTCCCTGCCTCTATGACTGGGCTTCAAATTAAATTTGACATAAGACGGGTTAACAGGAGAAAATCTGTTGCTTGTGGGAGGACCTTGGTTAAATTACTCCACCTCTCC